GGCTGGCTTTGAACTCACAGAGATCTGCCTGCCTCTGCCTCCCGAGTGCTGGGATTAAAGGCGTGTACCACCACACCTGGCAAATTTTTTTTTTTTTATGATTTGTGCACGTGCATTTTGTATGTGTTTGGGTACATGCATGCCACAGCATGTGTGTGGAGATTAGAGGACAGCCTTGTGAAGATGATTCTCTCTTTCCATCTTTTTGTAGGTTCTAGGGATTCAACTCAGGGATTCAATCCAGCATGGCAAACTCCTTACCTATTAAGCTATCTTGCCAACCTCAACTTTGCTTATTGAAAAATACTGAATAATGGGGCTGGAAAGGGCTCAGTGGTTCAGAGCACTGGCTGCTCTTCCAGAGGACCACTTCAATTCCTAGCACCTACATGGTGACTCCCAGCCATCCATAACTCCAGTTCCAGGGTATCTGACACCCTCTTCTGGCCTCTTAAGAGCCATGGCATGCACATGATATACTGACATGCAGGCAAAACACTCATACACATAAAATAAAAACGATAAAACATTAAAATAATAAGTACTGAATAGCAGTTTCTCTTGGCACTGGGTGCAGTGGTTTACTAGGACTGCTCCAGCAGAGCGGCGAGATGGGCTTTAGGGAGGCTGTGCAGTTCTGCTGCTCCTTGGGCTGCGGTGCGTCAGTACCGGCTCATGTCCATCGGTACGTGGTGTTGTGTGTCTTCACGTGACTGCCTTCTTGTATGGACACAGGTCATTCTGACTTGGGGTTTCTCGCCTTTGCTGTCAGTGACTCTTTCTAACTAAGCTCACATTTGAGGACTAGCATGAAGTGATGCTTTCGGGAATATTCTCTCTCATCTTTTTTGTTGTTGAGTCATTGATGGTTAGGTAATGTGGCCTGCTTTTTGATGATTATGGCTTCATCTGAAAATCAAATGAATTGTCCTTGACTGTGGCATGAAAAGAAAAGACTTTCCCTCTGTTGGAGTTGGGATGTACTTCCAAATGTATGACCAGAAAATTCACCCCAGACCCTTGTCTGTGGCTCTCCCTGTCAGAGTTTCGTTTGGTTTGTTCCCTCAGTTTGTGGTTTATCAGTCTTGGTGTCTAAACAATGGAATGAAATAAATCTGGTGTAAACATTTATCCAGTGAAAAATAAGTTCATTTTTTTTCCCTATCAGTTTTAGTACATAAACTGTGGAGGATAGTTTGGAACTTTTATGGACTCATTTTTCCCATTCAGGTAATTATCATTTAGTATTTTTGTATGTAAATCATTAAAATTACGTATCATGTGTACTTTTTCTATGTAAAATTTCTCACAGCCTTGCCCTACATTGTACTTTAGAACTGTGACATACTGTGAATCTCAAGTCCATGTAAGGTGTAAGGCTTCATTGCCTCAGGTACTTCCTGAAGACCCTTCTCAGTTTGCACTCTCACCACGCATCAACTTCTGGGTTTTTAAGTTAGTTTTAATCTAAGTAGAATTTAATATAAATGGACTTACAGACTCTTTGTTGATGGTCTCTTTAGTATGTTTCAGAATGTTTCCCTTTTATTGCAGCCCTTCAGGAAAGATTCACTAAACTTTCTATTTTTTAAAAAAATTTATTATTTTGATTTTATGTATATAAGTGTATTGCCTGCGAGTATGTGAGGGCACCCGTGTCATGCAGTTCTGTGGAGGTCAGAAGAGGGCTCTGGATTCCCCTGGAACTGGAGTTAAGGATGGTTCGTAGCCGCCATGTGGGTGCTGGGAATCGAACCCAGGTCCTCTGCAAGAGCAGTCAGTGCTCTTAACCACTGAGCCATCTCTCCAGCCCCTAAACTTTCTATTTTTATTTCTGATGCAAATTCATCTCTTCTCTCAGACATTAAAAGTATTCAGTTAGTTTTCCCACATTGTACCAGATTCTTAGAATATCCCTGCTGTCTCTTTGATTCACAGAAACACTAAAAGGAAAAGATTTTTTTGCTTTCTTTAGAATAGTGAAGAGTGTGCTGCTCTGGGGACAAATCTAGGAATTAATAGTCCAGGAGAAAGCGGGAGTGCGGAGTGGGGGAGAGAGAGAGATTCCTACATGCTGTGCCAGCCAAGGGTTGTACAGTTAAGAGGAAGAAAACACCATGTGAACAGGCCATGAGAAAAGACCCCGAAAGCTTGATGATACTTCTTTTGAGTGGATATGAGGTTTTATATCTGAGCAGTGTTTGCAAAGCCCTTTATGATGCATTTGCAGTTACCCTGTCTGTAGCTGAAGACTTGTAAGCTGGGGAATGACACCAGCTCCCATGTGGTGACATTGAACAGTGGTGGTAGTGAGTGGGTAGCTTTGTTTAGAGAGGAAGGTGTTAGGATAGGAAACCTGCGTCCTCACCACACGTCTCAAATTGCTTCCATAGAGTCTAATTTTTGCTCCTTGTTTTCAACTGAACTACAACTTCAGATGATTTTTTTTTTCAGATAAGCAACTTGTGGGTTATATTTTCCAGTGCATAGCATTGGTATTGCTCTTGGTATTGAACACAGCCCCCAAAGCAGCACCTGCCACCTTTGGAAGACATGGTCTTTCCCTGTAGTACGTGGGGTAGAGAAGTCTGGAACTGACCCACTTTTGCTTCCTTTGGAAGTAATTTGTCTTTATTTTATTCTGCCTAAGTTCATAGTCTGTATTTTAATTCTTTTTAAAAGTATTTTATTTTTATGTATATGAATGTATCACCTGTGTGTAAATGTACCATGTCATGCAATGCCTGTGAAGGTCAGAATAGGGATTCAGATCCCCTAGAACTGGAGTTATGGATGGTTGTTTGCCACCAAGTGGGTGCTGGAAATCAGACTCTGGTCTTCTGCAAGAGCAGCTCATGCTCTTAACCACCGAGCCATATCTCCAGTGTTTAGTTACTGGCTGTAGGTGAGCACTGGACTGTGCAGTACAGACGGACCTTTAATTTAGTCCTCCTGAAGCCCTGTCTTGAACTAAGGAATGACTTGATCACCAGGAAGCAGATTAATCGTATTGGCGTTGTCATATGCAAGGGCCATGAGACATGTGGATAATGGAGTCTATGAAATTTGGTTTCTCTGGATTGAGATGTAGTAAGTGTAGAATATACCCAGGATGGCAAAGGTTTGTATGGAAAATGGAAAATTAATACTTAAAAAATTTAGATGTTAAAGTAACAGTAATTTGAAAATATTGGATCAAAGAACACATTACAAAAATAAAATGACTTTCTTTTCACTTGTTTAGTGTGGCTATTAGATAATTAAAGGTTATATTTCTGGCTCATGTTATATTTCTATTGGGTTTTGAGAGGTGTGGAAGTTCTCTCTTCTCTTGGAGCTTGGCAGGGAAGACTAATGGGCAATTAGAGTGGGTGTGTTAAATGATCTAGGTGCTCATATGTGGAGACAGCTGACTCAGTTTTGAAGGCCTGCAGAAGGTACCCTCATTAAGACCTTGTTTTTCTTCTGTTTTCTTTTAAAGTTCTCTTTAAACTTTAGATGGAAGGAAATAAAAGATAAAAAGCTAAACACTGAATTTTTGGAAAGTTGTTTTTTTTCTGGTAGAATTGTCTCAGTCTAATGAAACAAATGAAGATTGAGTAAGGCCTGCACCTGGCTACAGAGGCCACTGCTCTTTTCCACACTCTCCCCATTAGTGTATCCAACCAAATGGATGGGGTGCCACTAGCTAAGCACAAACACAGATCGGCATTTGCTCTGTTAAGTTCGGAGTATCAGGGGAATAACTTGAGCATTTGATGAGTGGAATTAGAGCCTAAGAGCAGTCTTGACTAACAATATGGATTGAAGTCGAAGTCTTAAGTGGACTCACCGGGAGTTGAGTAATGGAGTAACAAGGCTAGGAAAACCCAGGAGAAATAGGAATTCTAAGGCCACTGACCAAGAATGCCAAGAGGGAGTTGAGCCATGATAGTGTGCTCGTGGTTAAGAGATACAAAGAAAAACAAGAGCTGGCTGCCGTTCTGTCTTCAGTATGAGGTCACTGGGGATGGGCAGGTTCCCCGGAGGGCATTGGATCAGTGGCAGAAACTCTAGGGGGTTGAGGAATTAGTGGGCAGTGGAGAGCTACAGACGAAAACTTAGTGTTTGGCAGAGGAAGGGGAAAGGGAGATGGGTAGGCTTTTGATAGCTGATGGAGGATATGTTTATCATATGACTGTGTGTGCGTGTGTGTGTGTGTGTGTGTCTGTCTGTCTGTCTGTCTGTCTGTCTGTGTCTGTGTGTTTTCTTGGGCTGTAATTTCTTAGAAAATCATGTTTCTGTATTTGCATTTTTGAAAAACTCACATCTTTCCCAAGGTAACCACAAGTCATCAGTTGTTAATCAGGATTTTAATTTAATATCTTTTTTGGGGGGAGTAAGATTCTTCATCAGCCTCACTAAAAAATTCCCTAAATATTAAATCTACATAAGAGTTTGAATTTACCTGATTGAAAACGCCCTGAACCCTTGAGATGGTGTGTTGGAACGGGAACATGGAGTGGTTTACCATTATAGTCTATCCTAGACTGCCATTTTTGCTATGAGACTTTGAATTAAATTTACTGCCACTTCAACCTATTTGTCCTTGCCTATGAAATGATAGTAGAAGTCTCACTTTATTTTTAGGCTGTTTTAGAATTAAACTTGAATACATGTGCTTTTGGGGGGGGTATGTGAATGTCAGACTTATTAAGACATTCAACAAATACATTTAGAAAAATGGTAGCCTCACATTCTATGTGCCAACCCTACAGTCTGTATAACTGGATTTCAAGTAGTGTAAGAATTTACTATAATTGCAAATAAGAACAAGTAGAATTTGAATGAAATTTGAATGAAAAGAAATAGCCTTTGACTAAAAAATGTTTTTTTTTTTTTGGCTTTTACCCCCATCTAGGTCCTGAGGGAGTCAAACAAATTAGCAGAAATGGAAGAACCGCCCTTGCTTCCTGGAGAAAACATTAAAGACATGGGTCTGTAGTAGAGTTTTTTATTTCCTTCTTTCTGACTGTGCACATAGTCAGTCCCCAGCATAGAGGAGGCCTCCAGCCGGGGCTCATTCCCATAGCTTCAGTGTCAGTGCGTGCACACTGCAAGCCTAGGTGAACGGCTCTCGTAGCCTGTTTGGGTTGTTGGGAAACACAAATTTATTGCTGTTCTTCTTTTTAAAGTTGTTGCTCACTACCATGGAAGAAAATTTCATTGTTTTGAATTCTGCATTCAGATGCTGAGGTGTCTAGATAAAAACGTCGGACAAGTGATTTTTCTTAAGGTGCATTCTCTCATTCTACTTTTTATGTTTTTCTTAAGTAAACTCAGGTTAAGTTTTGTATGAAAACAGTTCATCTCCATTGCACAATAAGCTGTTTCTATGTGGACACCTCTTGGTATTCAGTGTAAATAGTGATAATATGAATTGTGCACCAGAAAGGGGCAGAAAAGCTGTAGTTTGACTGTATGCTTTTGCTTTGTTGTGACAGTCTACAGAATGCTTGTAGATTTTGAGAAATAAATAATATGTTAGGAGGTTGAAGTGGGTGCTTTAGCTAAGGAGTGCCACCTTCATATCACTACTAGTCGTATTGGCTAGAAACTCAGGCTTCATTTTCCCTGGGTGTCATTTCTTGTGTAAAAATAAGCCAAAGTGGGGAGCTGCTTTCCAAATGGGGTGATATTAACCTATTTGTCGTTTTGATCTTGACACATTGAATAACTTCCTCAGTCCTCCACCCCTTTGGCTGTATGTGTGCACTGAGCACTCGATTTACTGAACTGCTCACTGAGTTAGGTCTATTCTATCAGCACTGAGTGCTAAATGCTGGAGTAGTTGTTGGAATATGTGTACTCCTCCATTCACAGTCATCCTTAGAGTGATGATGTGAGACAGATGTGGCCGTACTTGGTAGACTGTGGCATGGGGGGTTCCTGCCTAATAAAGTTACATTTCCCTCTTCAGCAGCTTCTGCTGCTGCTCTGAACTCAGTGCATTGGTCCCCTTCCTTCCCTGTCAGCACACCCTAGGACTTCATCCTTGAACCCATTCCCTTACTGCATAATCTTTTCAGTTGGTTATATCTTAATTAGTAGGCCCATTTCTATAGATTGGTCAGTGACTCCAGACATTTGTTTTCCCACCCTGAACCTCTGCCCTCATGCATGTCAGCAAATGCCTTGACTACCCACCCAGCCCATCCAGCCTTGTTCCCAGCGACTCAGGGCGGATGCTGTCTCTGCCCACCCCAGACTCACTCTTCGGGAACCTCAGAAATAGCTGTCTGTTCACTGAGGTCAGAAATGTGGCTTCCCTCCCCTCCTGGACAACTTTTTTTTTTCCTGAATTTTAAACATGCATCCAGTTACTAGCTCTGGAGGAGTCAATTGCAAGGAGTTTCTGAATAGTCCACGTATTTATGAGCTCTTAGTATAATGTTAAGTATAATGCATTTCAGGTACCATGAGAGACTTCAAGTGGAAACATTTAATAATAATGAAGAGAGGTTTGGGCTTGAAATTCACATTCAGAATCGTCAGCTTAAAACAGAAGCAAAGTAACCTGAGGGTTGAGCTGAGGGCTAAAAGCTGTAGTGCGTCCTAACACTTTGTAGTTCTATGGGAGAAGTGAGATGAGGGGGAACTGAGGAGAGCCAGGTTGAAATGACCTTCAGTAGAGTGAGCTCTCCCCTTCCCACCTCTTCAGTGGGGCCAGGGACTAGTGCCGCGGGCCTTGTCAGCTTCTCTGCTCAGCAGCTTTGCTCGCCGTTGGAACAACCCCCCTGCCTCCACCGCTGAGCCCTCTCTCACCCTATGACTGAGTGGGCTTGCCCTTCTCAGCATTGCTTGATGTGTTTTTGTTTTTCTCTGTGCACAGGACTTGTGTACTCGTGCGCTGCGTTCATTTCTATTATCTCTGTGCTGGTACACCTCACAGAAGCTATTGGGGAGTCTTCCTTGGATCTCTGAGAATTTGAGATTAGTAATCTGAAATACTTTGGTACCTCATAGCAGAATCACAGTGTTGCCAAACTTAGAATACCAAATGCAACATTACAATATCCTATATTCAGAAATGGTATTAGAAAAAAGTCAGTGGTTGGGATAAACATGCATAATTTCACATAAAAAAGGCCTTGGATTCCAAGTTGAATTAATATAAATCTGTGGTTTAAATTAAAAAAAAAATTACTGAGCTTTTGTACATTTCATACCACAGTTCTAAGTCAGATTTTGACTCCTTCCCCCATCCATGACCCCAATCCCTTACTGGACCTTATGTATTCCACCATACATGTTAAGTCCTATCCAGTCAGGCACTTGTACCCAGATGTCCTTTGGTTCAGATTTATCCACTGGAGTCTAGTCAGCCCATCTAGGGATCTTTGGTAAGGTCTACTCTCTCTCACCCAGCACTGACCAGTCTCCAGTAGTTGTAAACTAACCCAACCTGCCACCCATCTCCCTTGCTCCACTCTCTTCCCTTGTCTGATTTGGCATGGACCCTGTGCTTGATGCCACCGTTGCCACAAGTTCACATGTGTAGCTTCTAGTGGCCTTTGCTTCCCTGTGTTCACGAACCAGCCCTGGCTCTTAAAGTCTTTCTGCCCCCTCTTCTGCAATGGTTTCTGAGCTGTAGGTGGGAGAGGTTTATATAGGACAGGGACACACACTCTGCAGTCTCTTACTCTAAAACCTAGCCAGTTGTGGCCTTCTGTGTGCCTTGTACTTTGTTATATAAGGAAGCTTCACTGGTGAGAGTTGAGGGATGCACCAAATTTTCTTGTCTTTTTTTATGTTAAAGTGAGGGCAGGTGAGCGGGCTCATGTGGGCAAAGGCCCTTGCTGCAAACTCTAACAACATGAGTTGAGTCCCTGGGACCCACACGGTGGAAGCGGAAAACTGACTTGTGGAGAGCCACAGCCTCCGCCGCCATTACAAGATGGCGCCGGTATCCGGACCTTCTTAAAAGTAAACATCCTGCCACACCCATAAGGGGCGTGCACAAGAGCCTGCTTTCCCCCGCCTCCTCCCGTGGCGTGATCTCCAGCAACCAATCCGCTTCTTATGATCTCCAGCAACCAATCCGCTTCTTATACGTCATAAATGGGACCTTTGGGGCATATATAAGCAACAGCTCTCCCACTTCTCGGCGTCTTTGGTCTTCAGTCTTCAAATAAACTGCTGCAGAAGGATCCTGACTTGTCCTCCCGCGTCGTTCTTGCTGGCGAGACGGAAAGCGGTCGGGGACACTGACTCCCACAGATTGTCCCCTTACCTCCACAGGTGCACCGTGGCACACACATGCCACATAAAAATACAAATAAATAAATGCAATGAAAAAATTAAAATGGAGGTGGTAACATCAAAAGGATGCCTTAGGGGTTGTCGTCTCAGAGTATTGTGACTGGGCCGCAGCAGTGACGCCTTCCCACTGGAGTTAGTCAGCCTGAATGAAGGCAGGCTCCAAGCTGACCTTGTGGGGGAAGTCAGCAGTCTGCGTTTGCCAAGAGAAAGCATAGTGCCAAGGGATGTTTCTAGCCAGGAGAACTAAATTCAGGTCTTATAATAATAATCAGTTCTGAAATATTGAACAGTTTATTTCTCTTCTCTACGCTTTGATATTCTCTCTGAAAGGTTTTTTTTTTTTTTTTTTTTTTTTTCCGGTCTTTTTGAGACAGGGCCTCCCTGTAGCTCCAGCTGTCCTGGAACTCTCTATGTAAACCAGGCTGGCCTTGAACTCACAGAGATCCACCTGCCTCTGCCTCCTGAGTGCTGGGACCAAAGGCGTGCGCTGCCACACCTGGTGGTAGTGCACATTTTTAAGAGCATAATGACATACAGATTCATCATTTATGTTTGATAAAGCACTGCTTATACTTTTTACTCTCTAAAATTGGACACCAGTTTCTTGGTCATGAGTTTAATATTCTTTTATTAAAGTATTTTTTCAAAGAAATTTTGTTCCAAGTGCAGTTTTTCTACAGAAGTGTAACCAGTTCTGTGCTTTCTGATACTGTGCATATCGTGGGCTTTTATTTTTAGAGAAATGGTAAAAATGGACTGTGGCTGGGAAGACCCAGGAGATGGGAAACAATAGTTTAGGGGGCATGTGCGAGGGTGAGGGCGGCTCCTCCCTGACACAGCGATCAGCACCTCCACCTGCAGCTCCAACCTCTCACCAATACTGATGGGACCTGGTCGTTTCTTCTTGTTCTTTCTCAGAAGAGCTATCTTCTGCCTCTCTAGCTTCCTATTTACATTCCGTCCCCAGATAAGAGCTGAGTTGGGAGCTTGAATTAGGATTCTGTGTTTTTTGGAATCATTGATTCTATGATTGATTTTGTTTTAAATTAGACTAGCAGAATAGTTTTATAAAATGTGTAAGCTGTTTTTAATAGTGTACAATGTCGAGTAAACTATGGATGTTGTATCTTTTCAGCCAAAGATGTAACTTACATATGCCCCTTCACTGGTGCTGTACGAGGAACACTGACGGTCACCAATTACAGATTGTATTTCAAGAGTATGGAACGGGTATGATTTACTGGATTCGGTGTTTGTGTATTTGTGGCCAGTTTGCTCACTTCTGATCATTTTTTCTGATTGATTTTTTGATTGATTGATTGATTGATTGATTGATGGACATAGGGCCTCCCTATAATATGCTGGCTGGCCTGGAACTCTCTATGTGTACCAGGCTAACCTCCGTCTCACAGAGATCCTCCTGCTTCTGCTTCCTAAGTGCTAGGATTAAAGGTGTGTGTCACTACACCTAGCTCGCTTCTGATAATTTTTGCTTAAAGAATTCCTGGTTACATTTTTTAGCTTCTCTGGGTTGGTGTTGGGATTTGCTTAAACTCAGGGTTCTGCTCTTGCAAATCAAGCAATTTACAGTTTCTTAGATATTTGTGTTTTGTTTCTTTCTCATAGGATCCCCCATTTGTTCTAGATGCTTCTCTTGGAGTGATTAGTAGAGTAGAAAAAATTGGTGGTGCATCTAGCCGAGGTGAAAATTCTTATGGACTGGAAATTGTGTGCAAGGTAAAATTTATAATATGTATGTAGTTTTATACATAGCTTTAGAAAGCTATTAGATAAAACCTGTGTTTAGAAACTCATTTTCAAAATACCAAGTGGCGTACATACTAGAAATTAACACCAGAACACATTGCTCCTTCCTTTATTCTGTCAGTGCTGAGGGCTAAAGAAGCAGTACATTCAGAATAGTTGTACATGCTAGTAGTTGTATGTGCTAATCTTAGAAGTTTTTTGAATCTAATGTTAAAACTAGTGACTTATTTGTATTTTCTTCATTAGCATCAAGAGAGCTCGGTGAGGGTAATAGTTGTCAACCACTCTGAAGTACGTTGCTTCTTGGTTGCTTTCACTGTGGTCTAGTAGTGGATGGAGCATAAACTATAAGACAGTGTGAAGGAGACTAACTGAGCTGTTAATCATTTTAAATATATTCTTTCATGGAACATATTACTAATTAGAGTTGGTTTCTGCTGTGGTACTTTTCAGAGAGTTCTAGTTAACAAGGTGACTCTTGAGTGTCTTTTCTAGTTATAAAGGTGTTTACTGGGAGAAAACACGATCTCAGCTTCAATTTACATATGTTTATTTTCACAGAATGGAAAGTTAGTATTCTGGTTTGTATCAGGTTTTAGTAGTCTATTTTGTTTGTATTGTGGGTGCGTTGTTGTATAATGTCTCTGCATTGTTTTACATAATTGTGTGTTCTTTGCCAGAAATATAGATGAACACATTTGGGTCTTTCCATATTGTCATAATTTATTGAGTAACAATAAATTCACAAAGTTTAGTGGTTTCAGCGGCAGCAGTTTTGTTACATCATCTGCCTACCTTGGAGCCTGGTTTTTATTCTGACCTTTTTTTTTTAATTATTATTTTTAAAAATTTTATGTGTCTGAGTGTGTTTCCTGCATGTGTGTGAGTGGACCCACGTCATGCAATGCCGTGGAGGTTAGAAGAGGGCTTCGGATTCCCCTGGAACTGAAGTTAAGGACGGTTCATGTGGGTGCTGGGAATTGAATCCCGGTCCTCTGCAAGAGCAGTCAGTGCTCTTAACCAGCTGAGCCATCTCTCCAGCCCCTTATTCCAATCTTTTAAAAAACTTTTGTTTTTATTTTATGTGTATGAGTGTTTTGTCTGAATGGATATAAGTGCACCACACGTGAGCATGGCCCGCGGAAGTCAGAAGAGGGTGTGGATCCCCTAGAACTGAAGTTAGACGGGTCCTCTGGAAGAGCACCCAGTGTCTTAACCACTGAGCCATCCAGCCCATTCCGTTTGCTGATATCAACAGTATGCCACACATAACACAGCAAACGGTAAATGTATCTATATGCATGTGTGTGGTTCACAGAATGAAGACAAGTTAAAGAGGCTGCAGCAGAGGTTTCAAAAGTGGGCTGAGAGAGTCTGTGTTGATAGGAAATTAAACCTGACTGGGGCCAGGAAGTTGCTGCAGCTGCTGAGTCAGAAGTGAGAGCAGAACTGCAGAGTGCAGCTGGGAGGGAGAGGCCACAACAGAGATGGAGAACAAGAAATGGCAGGTCAGGACCAGACAGGAACAGGCAGGCAGTCCCCTAGGCCATGTCAGCAGCGGGGAGCAAGCCCAGCTGAAGCTCAGGGAGCATTCAGGGGGAGTCTTTGGTCCTTGATGTACACACCAGTGGTTGGATGATAGATTGGTGTGGGGCCATGCCATTGTAGTGGTGGGTGTCCCTCACTATATGGGGTCCAGGTCAGGAAATGATATCCTTCCCTTGGAAGTGTCCGGTAAGTTCTTGGGCCTGCCCTCTGTTATGATTTTAATACACCCATGTGCCCCTATGGTCTCAGTTCTTCCCAGTAAATTTATGGGGTGCTGATAAATTTATTTATCAGTCTATGCTAGATGCCTGGTGGCCAGCAGATGCTGCAGTTTTGGGGCCCAGGGGATGCAGTCCTCCTTCTCTCTCAAAGCGGAGTCAAAGCTGCTTATAAAACAGAGGCTCTTGGGGCAAGGCACAACCTGAAAAAGCACTGTTTATATAGTATGGGGTACTAGAGTAGCACAGCCTGATCTCAACAATAATAAGATACAACAGAGTGGTTCATCTTTTGCCTGGCTTTAAACATTTAAATTATTCTTAATTTCAAATTCCTTTACTGTGTGTGGTAAGATAGCCTAGCTAGAATGTGAACACATTCTGCATAAGCATGAACAATGCTTGAGGAGGGTAGTGGAAGTGGCCTGGCCCTTGAACCTGATTGTAGAGCAGAGATTATAGCCAAACTGCTGGTTGTCTCCCTGGACTGGAGGAAGAGTGTTGAGATACAATATCTAACCTCCGGTCTTCTATCATTCACTTCCCGTTCGGCCCTCACCGAGTTGAGGAGCACAACTAGGTTTTCTACTGCGTAGTAGAGTACTTGTGTTTCTTTTTCTTCTAAAGGGGCATTCTAATTTCCTTGCCTCTAGGAACTGTAGTCTGTTTTTGTATTTCACATTTATAGATTGCAAGATAGTTCTAAAGTAAACTTATTTATTTATTAAAAAGTGAACAGTGATTAAATTGGAGCCTATGTCTTTTCTAGGATATCAGGAACTTACGATTTGCTCACAAACCTGAGGGGCGAACGAGAAGGTCCATATTTGAGAATCTAATGAAATATGCATTTCCTGTCTCTAATGGCCTGGTAAATGTTTCTTATTCTTTGGAAAAAAAGTCTGGATTGCAATTATTACTGTAAAGAAACTTGACTAGATTATCAAAAATCTCTACCTTTACATTCCTGCTTTGACATTTGACTGGATGTAACCCAGGATGCCAGTTTCTTTAGTTATGAGAGCTGGCTCATTTCCAAGGTCCACTGCATCAATGACATTCTGTAATTACATGATGATTTTAGGAAGGAAGAGCAAGCTGGAGATTGAACTCAGGGCCTCACATAAGCTCGACACATGCTCTACCAGTAAGCTTAGCCACTTATTTATTTATGCTTTTATTGGAGACAGCATTAAGTTGCCCAGGCTGGCCTTGCCCTTGCGATCCTACTGCCTTAGTTTACAGAGTAGCCTGGATTATAGGCCTGTGCCCCGAGGCTCAGCTTGTGTAATTTCTATTTATATTTCTATTTAGAGAATAGAAAATCGTCTCCACAATTTAAAGCTTTATGTGGTCTTCATTGGGCTGTAAAGTCCTCGGAGGAGCTGACATTGGAGGCCAGGAGTTTGAGGCAGTTACTTGTCTGGTGGTGTTATGACAGTGCTGAACCCATCTGTCTAGTAATGTTGCCACTCCCTCAATAACCTTATTTTTACCCATTTTGGAAATGAAGCCAGAATCAGGTAAGGAATTAACTCAAGGGCTTAGCTAGCAGGGATCAGCACTGGTTCTCTGATCTGGTGCACTAGAAAAGTAAAAAGCTATGCGTGCTAAAAAGTGTTTTCGAAAATGTAACAAAACATCATGTTTGCCCAATTGCTGATACCTGTGATGTCAGACCAGTTACTATATCTAAAAATGCCTTTTTTTTGGAGTTGCCAGTTTTAAAAGCTGTATATGTGGTTGCTGGCTTATTTGTATGTGTACTACATGTGTATAGTGCACTCTGATTGCGGGAGAATGTCGGATTCTTGGGAACTAAAATTACAGGCAGTTGTGAGCCAGCTGATGTGGGTGCTGGGAATCAAACTCAGGTCCTCTGAAAGAGCAAGTGCTCTAAACTGCTGAGCCATCTCCAGCCCCCGGAGGTGCCTTTTATTTCTTAGAATTAAACCACAGAAGCTATCAAAAATAATCTGAAGTAAATAGGTTAGCATTTGATTAATTTTATGGGTGGATCTTTGTGTTTTGTACTTTGGAAAAATGTGTAAAAATTATGTTTAGTGTTTGTAAATTAAACAATATTTTCAAATGTAAAACATTGAAAAAGTGTCAACACTTTTCTTGCAGGTAAGTAAATTGAAATAGATAATTAACGCTTTTTAAGGGTGTGTTTCTCATTCTTGACTTTTTAAGGTTTTTTAAAGTGTCTTTTTAAACTGCTGTCTGCTCTTTTGTAGCCTCTTTTTGCTTTTGAATATAAGGAAGTATTCCCCGAGAATGGGTGGAAACTCTATGACCCTCTTGTAGAATATCGAAGGCAGGTATGTGCTTCCTTATCTCCATTTCCGTGTGCTACATTTTCATTACAGAGAAGACTTAGTGGGTAGAGGAGACGGTTTTAGTGCTTGGTCTTCACTGAAGACTAGCTCTGGCTTGTTTGGTTTCCTGTCCTTCTCTGAGTTTTTTTTTTTTTTTTTTTTT